ACAACTCTAAGCCGACGTTTCTATCTCGGACTTTTGTATTTGTATTTCAAATTCTCTGTGTCGAAGTTGCGACAACCGGGGAAGGAAAAAAAATTCGAAGGGAAAGAACAAATTTCGAAGTGGTGTCTAAATACACGGAAACGCGGCGAACGCCTCTTCATCGCGATATTTTCGAAACGTCGCTTCCCTTCGTCGAATGAATTTCATCGGTGAAACACAGTTCCAATAAAAATCGAACGGACAGCTCTCTCTCATTTGATTCTTTTTTCTTTTTTCAACACGAGCGCGAAGAAAAACGCGGATTTTCATTTGGCGTGTTTAACACTCTAGAAACAACTCTTGCCCCTCAGTATTTATTATTTCGATGTATATTCCACGACTCGTGAACACGATTCTCTTTCTCTCTCTTTTAATAAAATACATGTGCTTCGTACGAAACACACGTATTTAAATATTACTAGAAATATTACGTGTATTTAAGTAATATAACATTAATATCATTTAAATATTACACAGATTACTAATTTTAGAAAGATGTTAATGATGATGAGATATTATTAATAAACATTAATATTATTCAAGATTACTAAAATAATATGTAGATCAGAAATATTATTATCCTTCTCCTCGAAAGAAGATGGTTTACAAAAAGCGATGAAAAATAAATTAGGTTAGGTTGAATCCAGATTACTTATTCTAAAATTAGTAATGAGAGATTATTAATAAATTAATTAATATTATCAACATATTATACAGATCTGAAATAATATGCAAATCGAAAACATTATTGTCCTCCTCCTCAGAAAAAAAAGATTGGTTTATGAAAGATAAGTTAGGTTAGGTTGAAACCAGATTACTAATTTTAGAATTAGTAATAAGATATTATTGATAAACATTAGTATTATTTACATATTATACAGATCTAAAACATTATTATCCTCCTCCTAAAAAAAAAAAATTGATTTATGAAAGATGAGTTAGGTTAGGTTGAATCCAGATTACTAATTTTAATATTAGTAATGAGAGTTATTGATAAACATTAATATTATGTACACATTATATACAGATCTAAAATAATGTGCAAATCGAAAAAATTATTATCCTCCTCCTCAGAAAAAAAAGATTGGTTTATGAAAGATAAGTTAGGTTAGGTTCAAACCAGATTACTAATTTTAGAATTAGTAATAAGATATTATTGATAAACATTAGTATTATTTACACATTATACAGATCTAAAATAATATGCAAATCGAAAACATTATTGTCCTCCTCCTCAAAAAAAGAAGATTGGTTTATGAAAGACAAGTCAGGTTAGGTTGAATCCAGATTACTAATTCCAGAAAGATGTTACAATATTTATAAACATCGCGTAGTATGTCGATGGTACGATACAGCGATGTTAGTAGGTCAAAGTGAACAGGCGGATCTCGAGAAGTAAAAAAAGAGCATGAGGAGCCAAGACGAGATGAGAAGAGATTAGACAGAGGTTCGAGTAATAAAACAGCAGAGGGATAGCTGGCTCGAGCTCACAGTATACGGCGGTATATATCGCTGACCCCCGGCTAGGGAAGTTTCATTAGATCAACACCGGAGAACTTCGATTGTTCTAGATCGACGGCGTCTGAAAGCTGTAGCGTGCGTGCGCTCTTAGATTCCCAACTATCCCAACAATCGCGCGTCTTCTCCTGACAGAGCTAAACGATCCGCCCGACCCCACTATAATTGGACGCCACGCGTCAGTTTTACCATCACGGACAGTTCCTATTTCGAGAACTGGTTCTCGCGGATCGTGGCAACTTCGGTGCCCGAATTTAATCAGAGCTCGGACGCGTTAAACTTTGAAACAGCCTCAGGCCGCGGAGCTTCACCTCGTGTGTGTGTGTGTGTGTGTGTGTGTGTGTGTGTCCTGCGATCAAACGCGTCGAAGCGTTGTAACAAATCTCGAGTCGAGTCTGATATTTTTCTCCCGGCTAAGTATCTCGAGGAATAAAGAATTCGGAAGCTTCGTCTTTAAATTTTCAAAGAAAGAAAAAAAAAAAAGATGGTAAAATGTTTGAGAACTCGCGATCGCTGATTTTGAATATTCAGCCTGGATCTACATATCTGGACAAACCATTGTAACGAAAAAGAAAAAATTCGAATCCTCGAACGGGATTCTATTCCCGGGTTTTGAGCTGGAAATCAATTTCCATTCCGAAAGAAAGATTTTCAAAAGGGGAAAGCAGCGAAGTTGTCGAGAACTCGAGATCGCTGATTTTGAAAGTCCAGCCGAGATTTATCTAACAGACCATTGTAAAAAAAGAGAAGTTCGAAGAACGAAGGAGAGGCAAAGTAAAATAAGTCCTATCAATGGCTCGTTCCGCCCTTATGACCGACACATCCGCCACCCCCCGAGGGATTGTTCGCTGAAACGAATAAAAGACACTCTCTCGTTCTCATTACTTTCCCTCCGCGTCCGCCTTTCTCCTTTTTCCTTTCTTTCGAAGCCTCGGCCAACTCCTTCACGCTCGGCCGTCACAGGATCAGCTTCAAACCTGTTCGTCGGCAATAATTTATCAAAGTACTTCCTAAGAGATTAAGGTCGGCGATCGAAACTTACTACGGAACCAAGACTTTTCTCGACACCGTCGGTAAAAAAA